CTTTAGCAAGAATTAAGTGTTGAACTTTGCTAGGCACACTGAAAGGTGTACCTAGATTGCCCTATAGAGCAAGTTTTAGGATGAATTTTAGAAAAATCAGTGCACAGGGCAACATCATCAGTTAGAGCACTGGGCAGGGAGTGCAGAGGCCTTTGTCTAGTTCCTGCGTTATCTGTCCCAGGCAGCTCTGTGATCTCCGGCAGATTACTTATGTTCCTATACCTCAATTTCCTTATTTGTACCATGAGCTGTTTTGATCTCAGATCCAGAGGAGCACAAATAAGGGACAACCATCACAGGTCACCCTGGAGAAAAGAAGGAAGATGTAAAGAGCAGGAAACCTTTGCTCTTTAGATCTGGACCAAGAAAGAGTCTTTTCTCTTAATTCATGCTTTAGAAGTCATGAGGAAATATCAGGGACTTTCATCCTTTGTCTCTGTACAGATTTAGCAGAGGGACATTGGGGAGAATGTCCAAGTTACCTGTCTTATGTGTGGAGAAGGCAAATTAGTGGGCACTTCAGAGCCTATGGCAATAATTCGAACTTTCCCATGTAAAGTCTGTTTTTTATCCCCTCATATGCTTCTTTTAACTTTTTGAGTATTTAGTTTTTGCATTGCTGCCTCCTAGTTTTTTGGTGGATGATTCTTGACAAATTGAGTTTGTTTTTATTGCAGTTCTTTGGGGTTGTCTTTTACAGTGATCAAACTTTCTTTTTTAACGTATGCCATATCTAATAATTTTAGGTTAGAATCTAATCAAGGAAAGAGACTGTCTATTTTGGTTTTGCTCTGAGGTTTATTTTATGCAAAGCTAGAAAACTATAACTTGATGAGGTGGGGGAGACACTAAGTCAGTGATAAACTGATTATCCTTTGCTCATTCCTAGGCATTGCACCCAAACAGTCCTTTCTCCTGGATCTAGAAAAGTTGGTGGTTATTGGAGAGATTAGTATGGTGCCCGCCCCATACGTGATGCTCAATAAATGTTCTTTTTTAAATTAATGCACCTAGGTGACTTTATAATTCAGCAATTACTACACGCATTGGCACACTTGATGTTTAATGAATAGAATTAACCTATATTTGCAAGGAAATTTATAGTTTCTGAAAAGCTTTCTGAGACATTATTTAATTAATTCCTATAACAACCCTGTGAGGTGGACTGAGAAAATATTGCTATCTCTACTCTACAGAGAAGCAAGCAACTGGTAGAGAAAAAAAGAGGAGCTTTTCCTAATACCATATAGCTTGTGTGTATGACACAGGGATGAAAGTGGAACTTATTTCTTCTGATGCCCAGTTCATGGCTTTTTCCACTATATAAATTCTTAATCTCTAGGAAAGAACTTGTCTTAACTCCCCTATCCTTTCATCAAAGCAGCAAAATTTATTCAAGTGCTCCAGCTCAGATTTCATCTTCGAATGTTCCAGCGCTATCTGTCTTACCTGATTTTTTCTGTTCATTTTTATTTCTAAAGTGTTCTCCCTGCAGGAGTTGACTCTTCTTCCTAATTAACTTTCATGCGGAAATTCCTTTCGTAATGAAATTGCACGTGTGTGTGAGTGTTCTCTCACCTGTTTTTTTTTTTTTTTAAATAGTGCACCTGGAGGGAGAACGCATTTCTGCTGTCTTAATAGTATGTCTTTGATGATGGAGAAATTTGTAAGAACTAAGATAACTGCCTTCCTGAGAATAAGCCTTTCTTTCCCCCGCCACCAAACAGTCTTTGGTTTAGGCACAGCTTTGATATTTGCAGAGGTTACCACTTGCTGATAATTAAACTGTGTTGTTTTGTAATATTGGTAACAAAGCAGGGTAGCAGGGTAGACAAAAACATGGACTTTGGAGTCAGACAAATCAGGTTTGAATCCTGGTTCTGCCATTTACTGGGCAATTCAGTTAATTTCTTGGAGCTGATTTTCTCTTTTGAGCAATGAGGATACTATATTAATGATATGTACCCAGGAGGATTTCTGTCCTGGGATGCTGACCAGTGAGGTGTAGAGCAACAGCTTCCTTTGACCTCTGGCTTTATTGCATTTGGCAGTTGGGAGTCCTAGCAGGAGATCAGAGGGAGGCAGGAGAATGAGATTATGTTCATCTTCTCATCTCCTTCCTTTCTGGATCATCTGAGGCTAACTGTCCTAGAAAATATCCTCCCTTTTTAAGAAAGTACACTCTATGACTCTTTCCTTGTAGGTATTGGTGACGCATCCCTCTCCTTGTCTCTTTAGTTTGGGGGATGGTAAAAACTGCATTATTGCTAGCTCCAGGAACTGCACCATCCTTTGTGGATTCCTCTGCCCTATTCACATCTTCTTAAATAGTCTCTTTACTAAACCTTCCTTTAATGATCATAATATGTTGTCTGTTTATTTCTGGGACCATAACTGGTATATTAGTTATGTGCTAGTTGAAAGCACAATTGCCTAAGTTTGTTTTATTTGAGGGAGTTTGGCACTTTTGAGTATTATTATCGCTTAAGTTTGTTTTATTTGAGGGAGTTTGGCACTTTTGGGGGAAAAATAAGAATGGGTTGTTGTTGCTTGCCATTTGATATTAAGAGAAGGAAAATATAGTAATGAAGAATGATGATGGAGAGCCAAGCATTCTCCTAGACACTACTTTATACACATTAATTCATTTAAACTCAAAATACACATGAGTATTATTATTGCCTTTTTGCAGATCTGGAAAAAGCTCAGAGAGGTTAAGTAACTTACCTAAAGCTACACAGAATGCCATTAAAGAGCTGAAATTCTAATCTATGCCCATTTGGATCCAAGGTCCATACTGTTTTAGTGAGGCCATGCTGCCTCCTAGGTAGGTATATAGCTTGAGAAGTGTCATCGCATCAGCAGTTTTCAGTTAAATTCATTTGTCTGTTTCAACTTCTACAGGTTCCAAATTCCTATAGGAAAGTATCTCTTAATGATGGTCTTTAAATCATGTCAAGGCAATTTTGTTAACAATCTCATTAATTTAGCAAACATTCGTCTGATCTTATTAATTTGTTAACTTGAAACCATTGAGTCACTAACCCACTAGAGGCAACTATTCCATGGTCGCCTCTAAGGGTACTCATTAAATGCTGAATAAATCATTAAATATTTTGAACAAATTTTTCTCGGATAATGTGTAAACATCCTACAGCATTTAGCTGGATTTTATTTATCTCCCTCAGTATGGAATATTTAGTTCACAGTTTATATAATTTCCGTCCTGTTCTTAAATTGATCTAGGTAGATAACGTAATTCCACATTTTCTGAGAACGGATAAGTCATTTGGTAAAGATGACTTAATTCCTGGAGGTATACTAGCTGAGAACTTTGCATTTGTGTATCAGCTCTTACCTCCAATTTCCACTCCCTTAAACAAAAATCTATACACACTCAAAGAAATATTATTTATCCTAGCAACTCATATTTGATTGTACATTTTTCTCTAACTTCAAGCGAGCATTTTCACCAACCTCAGAAGAAGGTTTTGTCCCTCAATGCCCTTTGCATCCCCAAGTTGCATGTAGGCATATTTTTAGCAATACTAAATACTATTTATCTGATTCTAGCTGCACCTTGTTGCTGTGGGGCTCTGGACTCTCCAAAAATATCTTCCTTTTATTCTTATAAGTCTTGAGTGGTTATTCACATGGGTTCAAATCAAATTTTTATCCTCGAATGTATGCCATTGCTGGTTGCTGGAAAGTTCTCTGAAGGTCTCTCTCTACTGGTGTGGGGTACCATTGGGTTCCCGTGCTGCTTAGGGCTGGCTTCCTCCTGGGGCCCACACTGACACTGTGTTCCATGGAGTCCTCCCTCCTTCTATTTTGTATACTTTTTAAAAAGTATCTATAGTTGCTTTGTTTTATTTTTTAATGTATAATTCACACTACTCCGCACTTTGACATTTTCAAATCATTTTAGCAAAACAAACTCCTTGAGACCTTGTTCACTGTTACTCTTTTTCCTAAAACTCAGACACAAGTCCTCTGAGAAGCTTAGAACAAATTCAAATGATAGATGCTTATGCTTATGTTACATGCTTATGTTAAAATTATGCTTATGTTAAAATCATAACCTGTACCTACAATGTCAGCCCACACCTACAATGTCAGAGTTTTTGTGCTTTGGTCAAGCCTGTTTGTTTCATCCCTATTCCCCTTAGAGTGACTTCTTTCCTAAAAGATGCTTCAGCCTTCATACGAATATACCCTATGAATTTGTAAGCCGTGGCCAGATATAGCTGAATATCAGAATGAACACAACACAATAGCTATGCTATTTGCTTTTTCTTCTAAGATCAAAAAAGAGAAGCTCCTTCTCGGTGTCTAATGGAAAATGAAGGTTAGGTAATGAGACTATCATGTCATTCAAGTGGCAACTACTCTGGAATATTCTTTGAAATAATAGTTATTGCTTGATTAGGTAAACCGTTCCTCCTAACCATTCCTTACAATCTCTTTGAATCAAAAGGGTAGAAAACTCACTAAATTTACTGAAAATCCACTGGGATAGCTTCCGTGTATTGTGAATTATGGCTAAGTAAACAGGAGGCCATGATGTAGTGATCAGAGGGCTTTCAGATGCGTGTAAGAGTCCTCTTCATGGTGAACAAGGCTACCCTAGTGATCCGTTAGTGGTAAATTGAGGGATGCTTAGCTGTACCAGCAAGAATTAGCACCTATACAATTCAGTATGCTTTTTCGTTACGTACGTGTGACTTTAGGTTGTGGCTACCATACTTATTTTTTAGCTACTAGAAATGTAGACTTGAATATTTATGGCAAACGGATGGTGCTTGAAATCTCTAACTTACATTTAACGAAAGCTGTTTTGGAAATATTGCTTGGGTGTACTTTTATTTCTTTAAACACAGTACCATTTTAGCCTGTTCTGATGAATAATTTAAGAATTACTGTCTTAGTCAAAGACAGCATTTCGAAGTGCACGTGTTAATCATATACTTGATTAAGTATTTCCTTGCCTTTCTCTTCAGAATGCCAGTTGGCTTTTGAGTGGATAATTGTTGCAGTGTGAACACTGACGTTGGAAACAATTATTGCCCATTCGAATTAAGACACCACCATGAAAAGAAATTCTTGTGATTTGCTTTCTCGGAGCAAAAGTGTAAGTACCCTTTGTTTTCAATTCTTTTCTAAAAATGTATACACATAACTTTTTACTGTTTTCTTTGAATTTGAATACTGTCCTATCATAATCAGGCTTGTGGGAAACCCTTGGTCAACTTTCAGTTCTCTGACTGTGCACAGCTTATTGACAAGTGAAGACTTGTTTGTCTTTGTGGCCTGGTTGATATTTAATGGGAATTCTCTTTCAGCCAGTTTATATGCCTTACCATTCATTTGTATAAGCCCACTGGTATGATTTTGGACACTCTGATTTTTGGATATATGTTGGAATGATATAATTAAAATTGAAATGGAAGAAATTTATGTCTTATATATCTAACTTTATGGGAAAGTCCAATAGTGTAAATTAAATTGAATATCACTAGATACTTCAGTTAATGACATTCTGAACGTTCATGAATACGGTGAATGCAAACACTTATCAGTGGGGCATCTCTTCCATAAGCTTTCTATCCTGGTATATATCTTTAATCTTTCTCCTCATTTAAAAAAAAATTAAGTGAACATCCTCAGTGCCCTGATGGAGATTAAGCCTTATTTCCAATTACATAGTGTTAAGGTACCAAGTTAGTGATAATTTTTAGATTTCTGTTAACTTATGAAAGAAAGCATAAGCAAATAGAGCAACTCAAAGGAAGCTATACAAAGCAGGGTCGAAAGTAGACCATTAATTTCTATGAGACAGGCTCTAAGAACATGGCCCTTTGTTCATTTACCCAAAAGGAAAAAAGGCATCAAAACAGATGTAGTTGTGACGTAGGAACATTCATTTGCAGGCATCAGAAAAACCACAAATGCAAACACATTTTTCTAGTATGGAGACTCTTTGTGTTACAATCAGTGATTCTATTGTGATGGCCGGAGGCCATATTTAATTCTATCTGTAGAATTACCACCATCCAGCTTTTAAGTAAAGTAACACAGGAGTATATGGAGAAGGAAGTTTAGTGAATCCAAGAGAGTTTCTTAAAAAATGAGGATATACCTAGAGGCGTGCCAATTCTTTGTCTGAGTGCAGACTGTGTTTAATTAACAACCAAGGAAATTCATTTGTTTTCCTAGTTGGTATTTGGTTGTATGTATTAAGCATAAAATAAAGAGCCATGGCTTGGAGCCTGGAATTCCTTCTATAATCATACAGTTGCTCATTGTAAAAGGAGGTGACCTGCATATAAATTACCAAACTGGAAACGCATTTTTCTGTTACTGAGTTTTTCTTATTATAAGTTAAATATGAAAGCAAACCATTCACTTAATGCTTTCTTCTTTTACTAAATTTCAGAGATGTGATAAATATGTGTGAAGGCAAAAAGGAGAAATTTTGAATAATTAAAAATATATTGTTAAAGATTTCCCTGTTCTTGTGGGAAAACATTCTAAAAGCAATGATTAACTGATCCATGACTTTAAGGAATTAGAGTACTTAATGATGCTAGGAGATTTCCTATTTATACTTGCTTAATGCAAAAATTTTTATCTTGGAAAGGCTTACACTTCCAGATTAAGAGAAACTGAGTTTCCTGCATTTGTGCAAATGTAAACAGTAAAGCTCTCATTTTACTGCTTTGTAGCTTCCTGAAAATCCACTGGCATAAAGTGCTTCCACTTAATTAAATGACTCTAAGCAGGAGATTACCATTTATTAAAGAAAAGAGCCAGACTTTTTGCCTAGTTAGTTGTCACTTTGGAGTTTCAAATATTATTTTGCACTAGTCTAAAAATGTCATCCCCGCCCCTTAAATCTTTGCCATAACAGAATCCAAAATTATACAGTTAGAAGTAGATGTTTCCTGTTTTTGATGAGGAAATTTTAAACGATTAATTTGATTTAGAATCTTAGAATGTTTTTCTTTGGCTTTATGACATTTGAAAATCCAAAGAGAATCTTCTAAACGTTAAAATGGCCTCTGCTCCTCCCTGCGTGTCTCTGTATATCTTGTATCTGTTACTGTGAAAACTTAAGGCATACAAAAGAGGGAAAAAAAAAGACTGTCTTTGAACAATCATCTTATTTATTTCTGAACACTAAAATCAGTGTTCATATTTTTCTCCTTACATTTAAGACTTGGTGCAGTGCCCTTTTTAATGATTAATGCTCTGGATTATTCCTTTATTTGGGAGGGATCCATGAAAAATTTTAGCTATAAAAATATAAACAAAGCATTTTTTACTTAAAGTGAGAATTTGCTAGTTTTGAGGATAATTTGTAGTTGTGGTGGGTAAAAAAATGGAGGAACCAAGCATATGGACAGTACAAAAGTAAGGCATGTTGAAGTGTAGTGAATCCAAGAGAGGTTCTTAAAAAATGAGGATATACCTAGAGGCGTGCCAATTCTTTGTCTGAGTGCAGACTGTGTTTAATTAACAACCAAGGAAATTCATTTGTTTTCCTGGTTGGTATTTGGTTGTATGTATTAAGCATAAAATAAAGAGCCATGGCTTGGAGCCTGGAATTCCTTCTATAATCATACAGTTGCTCATTGTAAAAGGAGGTGACCTGCATATAAATTACCAAACTGGAAACGCATTTTTCTGTTACTGAGTTTTTCTTATTATAAGTTAAATATGAAAGCAAACCATTCACTTAATGCTTTCTTCTTTTACTAAATTTCAGAGATGTGATAAATATGTGTGAAGGCAAAAAGGAGAAATTTTGAATAATTAAAAATATATTGTTAAAGATTTCCCTGTTCTTGTGGGAAAACATTCTAAAAGCAATGATTAACTGATCCATGACTTTAAGGAATTAGAGTACTTAATGATGCTAGGAGATTTCCTATTTATACTTGCTTAATGCAAAAATTTTTATCTTGGAAAGGCTTACACTTCCAGATTAAGAGAAACTGAGTTTCCTGCATTTGTGCAAATGTAAACAGTAAAGCTCTCATTTTACTGCTTTGTAGCTTCCTGAAAATCCACTGGCATAAAGTGCTTCCACTTAATTAAATGACTCTAAGCAGGAGATTACCATTTATTAAAGAAAAGAGCCAGACTTTTTGCCTAGTTAGTTGTCACTTTGGAGTTTCAAATATTATTTTGCACTAGTCTAAAAATGTCATCCCCGCCCCTTAAATCTTTGCCATAACAGAATCCAAAATTATACAGTTAGAAGTAGATTTTTCCTGTTTTTGATGAGGAAATTTTAAACGATTAATTTGATTTAGAATCTTAGAATGTTTTTCTTTGGCTTTATGACATTTGAAAATCCAAAGAGAATCTTCTAAACGTTAAAATGGCCTCTGCTCCTCCCTGCGTGTCTCTGTATATCTTGTATCTGTTACTGTGAAAACTTAAGGCATACAAAAGAGGGAAAAAAAAAGACTGTCTTTGAACAATCATCTTATTTATTTCTGAACACTAAAATCAGTGTTCATATTTTTCTCCTTACATTTAAGACTTGGTGCAGTGCCCTTTTTAATGATTAATGCTCTGGATTATTCCTTTATTTGGGAGGGATCCATGAAAAATTTTAGCTATAAAAATATAAACAAAGCATTTTTTACTTAAAGTGAGAATTTGCTAGTTTTGAGGATAATTTGTAGTTGTGGTGGGTAAAAAAATGGAGGAACCAAGCATATGGACAGTACAAAAGTAAGGCATGTTCCCAGTGGCTATGGCCCTTGTAGTCTACTGTGGGAGATAGACATTCATTAAAGAATCACATCAGTGACAATTCATATATCTCCTTCCCTAGAACGAGTATCCTTCAACCTGTCCTCATATGTAATGGTCTCTTTCTTCATCCTAGAATGTAGACTTCCTAAGGACAGAGGCCACATTAATTTAAAGTAAATCAAAGTGCTTATACTAATTAAATTGAAAATGTCTAAATGAGTCAAATGTTATTAATATTAAACATTATATTAGAATAAACTTATAGGCATACTTTAATAATAAGTGAACCTAAATTACAACATCTTAAGACCAATATATGGTTTCAGACATGACAATGAAAGAAATCTACAAATTTAAAAAATGAAAAGCTATCTTATAATAATAATGCATCAGTTGAAAATGATAGAAGGCAAATAATTTAAGCTTTACATTCCTGACTCACATTATTGTTGCAACTGATTACATCATTTGTTTTTAGAATACTTGGTGTTAATATTTATTTCTCATAAAAATGGTTTTACTGAATTTTATAGGGCTTATAAAGTTTATAGAGTTTCTGATATATAATTGCTTCTTAGAGTAGAAAGAGAACTAAAGGTGTTCTGACTCAATCATTTTATTTTATTTTATTATTTTACTTTATTTTATTATTTATTATTTATTTTTTAGGCCAGGCAACCCTTGGTTGACCTCATAGATTGCAAGGACTTTGTCAGCTTACAATCTCTTATTTTTTTTTATTTTTTACTCCTACAGCACCTGGTATTCCTAGGTGGCTTCACATTCAAGTAGTAACCAGGCCCGACTTTGCTTAGCTTCTGTGATCAGACAGGATCGGGCTTGTTCAGGGTAGCATGGCTGTAGACACTCTTATTTTATTGATAAAAAAATTGAGGTCAGGGCCTGGAGAGATGAAATGACTTGCCTGAGAAGTGGCTTGGTTTATTTGGGGGGAAAAAAAAAATGTTGCCTTTAAAATCTTACAGAATCGAGTTCAAAATTTGGCTCTTTCAACTTTCCAGTTGTGGGATATTTAACAAGTTTCTGACCCCAGTATTCTAAAGGCTGATATGGAAATCACCCTTTAGAACCCACAATGTTTGATATATCAAAGGTATCTAAATGAGTGCTATCTTTAGCATTGCCTAGACTCCATAGCTTGTAAGTGAGACTCCCTGGGTTCTTTTTCCTCTCTGATTTTTAAAATGTAGTCAAAGCTCAGATTTAAAAAAAGACCAAAACTCTTGCCCCTGTTAATCTTTTTCGAGTGCCTGAAAAATACCAGTGTTGGAAACACCATGTTGTCCAAATTAAGTTCTATAAAAACTAGAGCATTAAAGGAAAAAAAAAGAAAAGAAAAAA